TTTAATCGTATCTCCTTATTGGAGGCATCTATCAATCCATCCATGAAAAAAAACACGACAATTTGAAAGCACAGATGAATGATCCCTAAGACTAATATCACACGAACAAACACATCTTGTAAAGATGTTACAAAAATATAGCTCTCTCGAAATAAGTTGGTACGCAGCATATCAGCTCTGAAACAGCGCTTATACCATACAGGGTCATTCACTTCGTGTCGTCTTCATAAACACAAATAATAATGACAGTTAGGATTGTAATCTGAACTTAGAATCACATCACCAGTTATTGTGACCAAACAACGAGAAAAACTATCTATTTGGAATCAAAACAAATGACATGACCTACTAAGAAATCCTATAATCACAAAATTCTGGCAATGTTTTTATGAAATTCTTAAACTCGTCGAAAAAAAACGCGTTAAACTCAACTTTGAAGGCAAAAAACAAAGGATAATGCTATCCCATCTTTATAGTACTGAACAATCACTGGACTATAATTCCAAACGTACGCATGTGCTCATATATGTAGAACAAACATTGAATATTCGTGAAGAATGAACAAATTACGAATGAAATTATTGCAGAGTACAATACATTACGATGGTGTAACATTAGATTAAATCAAATAGAATTTAGCAAAAACATTTGATGATACTTTCATTATCTATTAATCACAAAACTAATGAACGATGACTGTCGTTTTTGCGCGTTTACAAAATTTAAAATACCCCATTTCAATGAGGTACACAACATCGAAATGCACCAAAATAACTGAAAATAAGAACCCATCTTTGCATGTTCGTTAGAAATGTGAAGCCGAAAGGTTCAGTGAAAGGCCAATTCTCGCAAAACAACAGTCATTAAATCAACTGAAATCAAGAGTCTAATCGTGCATCTCGTACAATCGATGGCACTTCAACAGTAATTTCAGGTCGATCCTCTTCAGACAGCTTAACTTGACATCCTAGACGGGAGGTCTCACTTAGGTCTGGCGCTAAATCAAGCATATCCGTTTCCTCTTCGTTGGGTGGTTCTAATCTGAAATCCACTTCGTTTGTAACACTTGGACATTGTTACTTGGACATCGAGCGGTTGTTTTGTCAATCACTGTGCGCGATCGGCGGAATATTTAATTTAACAGAGTTATGGTTATCTATTGGACTGATATTTGGCTACGATTAATTACGCAAAGTATTCACAGCAACTGATTAATTAGTCGGTTGTGTTTCGTTGGCCTGCTCGCCTAGCCAGCGAGGTGGCGAAAATTCAGGCTAAAACAATGTGCACGGAAACGCGAGCATTGTGGCCAGTAACGTTACAAACGTTTGATAGCCTGGCCAATGCAGGTAATAATGACACTGCACACCGAACGTTTTCAAGCCAAATTTACCTCCGCATGCACAAATATTGATTACACATCATTACACTTAGCATCAGTGATGTTCATTGAAGTGCTCGAATAAATGTCGTAAAAGTTATTGTTTCTTGCGTGAACATAGAAGGATAACGGTGGCACAAAGCTACGAAATAAACGAATAAAAATGAGTCAATAACCAACAAAACGAACCTATCGAAATGTTTCTGATCGAGCCAAACATGGCACGTACAACAAGCCAAAGTGCCTTCACATGCACCGAATCCATCCAATGGCAGATCCGAATTCACCACTACATCCAGCAACGAATCGCCCACATTACCAACACCCTCGTGTGTGCCTTCAGCACTCACGAATTTCACTTTAATGCCACTGAAAATTCATTATTCTTATTATCATTTCCATTATTGATCAAGTTTGCAAAACACACTCAAATGCCAGCATGAATCAACTGTAACAAATCTACTAACGGCGCTTTCGACGATAATGCCCTTTTGAAGGTGTGACCGCCTGTTGTGATCAAAGGTCTAACAACTCGTAACCATAACATTTTTTTGGTTCGCTAAAGTCGCACCCTAAAATTGAAAATATTCTCCTCATCGGTATTCATGAGATAAACCGAAATAAAATTTCGGAACGACAATTCCGAAACAACAGTGATCAATCGCTAAAAACTGATCTATTAAAGTCAGCTTTCATTTACAAGCTTAACATGCGCAATGATTTGAGACCACTATGGTATTGAGACCGAGACGACTCGAAACTGAATGCGAAACACGTGATGAATGCAAACAACCGATGACAGTAAGCAAACGAAAAGTTGTTTCAATGGATTCTATTTTCGTTGATTCAGAAGTCTGGTTATACCGATCAAATTCGGAATCATTCATTTGCTATTCGTTTTCACAATTCCGAACTTCGCCGAAACGTCGTGAAACGAAATTGTATCAATTACCATCATATTAAACTGGACTACTTTGCCTTGCTCCTCAGCATACGGTTTTAAACTTTTGACGTGAACACTTCATTTTTCAAGTTATGATGATGACTTTATGATTATTCACAGTCTTTATCCATCATTACTTCATTTATTTCTCCATATTAAAATTTTCTTTGCCCCTTACCACTACTGAATAAAGACAACTGCTCGCCTTTTACGTCAACTTAAAAATGCTTCCCAATTTCCAGTTGAATAAGTCGAGTTCAGAAGACAAACTGATCATGAGAGAATTCCATGCCTCACAACAAACTCATTCATACTAATGAAAATCTTATCGAACAATTATTCACTACAACAGATACAACCATCTATAATGGATTAAAATACCACGTATGATCAATAAAATCTATTATTAAAGATTACCATACGGAAGCGAAACATTTTGAATCGTTTATTATAATTTCAAAACAAAAATGCAAAACAAATATAAACAACAATTAACCATCACAAACCCTCAAAAACAAAATAAACATTATTTACAAACAAACTGCTGAAAACCCGAATAAAAAATCAA